GATTATTTGCCAAGAAAAAAAGAAACGCTGCATTCTATTGCCCCAGACTATATTGTACATTAAAATTATTTATAGACAAACATGTCTAGGTTAACAATTCCTATCTAAGCATTACTGAGTACACATGATTTTCAGACGTCATGACTGCAATATGTTGTGTTAATCCTCTGAAAATCTTGAGTGCTATAGAATTAATAATATTTTCAAAAAGTGACAGCAAATAATACCTACACATAGTACTATTACGAGTGTAAAATTGACATTCTGTTTCTTTTTAAATCTATAGAACCATTGTCTTGGCCGTTATCCCACGGTTCACTCCCTCTTCATAATTTGCTTAAAATGATTTGAGGATTCATAAATGGACAAATGCCACAATTGTATTCCATGATCTACAACATATCTCACAAATTTTCAAGCTAACCCCATAACTTCTTAAACTATTAAGACAAAGTTATGAGTAATTTCAAATCTCTTTATTTCACCTTTGAAAAGCTAGAAAGGCTTAATATTAAATACTTTGTACTCAGACTCTGTGGCCACAAGATGGCGCTGACCTTTTGGGTTTTAAAATCCTGTGTGTAGATGTCTTTGTCCAAAAAGCAAGTCTTTGACGGTGCATAACATGAATTGTTTTTTGGTTTTTGTTTTTATTTTTTTTTTCCTTTGGTATCCTATAGCACCGCATTAGTTACAAAGATGAATCTAAACAATATTTGTTGAATTTCATTTATCTGATCATATTAGGTACATCCAACTTCTCTCTGAAGAATTTCATTCACCAGTTTAACTAGCTGAGGTTCATTTCATAAAAGCCAATCGAAAAAGGTTAAAATCTAATATAAGTACCCAATTGTACCGCATCAGAATAAAGGGAAATTAAGACTGGCAATCTGGAATAGTTTAAAAGTAGAATTTGTGATAAAACACAAAAAACAAGGTGTTTGGTTCTCAGTTTGTTTTGCATAAGGATGCTTGCTAACTGAATTTTGAATGAGCTACTACTGCCATCAAGTGTTAGAATTCATTCTTTTCAAGTCACACAAATGCACAAAAAAACACCAAAACTGCAATGTGTTTTCCACTTAAACACATAATGTTCTGCACAACATAAAGCATAACTTATTAATAACCTATGCCATCATAAGACATTTATTGTAATTAAAAAATGCAAACACTGTCTTTAAAATCTTCCAAAAACAGTTTTAATTAGTGAATATGAAGAACGTATTTTACTAAATTTACTTTTATATGTGGGAAACAAATTCTTAAGGTGATCCCTCAATGATTTCACACCTCCCGGTCTCCTAGTGTTCATATCTTTGTGTAATGCTCCCTGTCCGCACCCTGTGGGCTTCTGGGATGGGTCTAGCTTCTAACCAATAGAATATGGCAAAGGTGATGGAAGACATAAATGTAAAGGCCATGATTATGGCACCTATACACGCATATGTCTATATCTATATCTCTATATGTATCTGTATCTACATCTTGCTCGGAAGAACTAAGGAGATTCTCTTTGCTGGTTTGATGAAGTGAGCAGCCAGGCTGAGGAAGCCCATAGTAAGGAACAGTGGGCAGCATCTAGGAACTGCCCTTGGCCCCTAGGACACGTGGGTGGCCTCTAAGTCCAGAAAGTAGACTGCAGACAACAGAGAGAATAAAGGCAGGGCCCTCAGTCATAGACCCACAGGAAATGAATTCTGCCAGTAACATGAATGATCTTGGGAGTGGATTTTCCAGAATTGAGCTCATGGAGAATCCAAATCAGCCAACACCTCACTTATAGCCTGGTTGAGATTCTGAGCAGAAGACCCAACTAAACTGTTCCTTAACCCCTGATCTCTGAAAGCATTGAGATAATAAATGCATGTGGTTTTAAGTAACCAAGTTTGTGGTAATTTGTTATGCTGCAACAGAAAGCTAATATAATATATAACATGGTAATGTGTTATAACATTCAATCAGAATATTTTATTTTGCAGTATTTCAGGAATATAGACCAATTAAAAATATGTCTGTATGTTGTTCAATGGGTACAAAGTTACAGTTAGATAGGAGGAATACATTCTGGTATTCTATTGTACATTGAGGTGACTATAGTTAACACTAACATATTTATATTTCAAAATAGCTAAAAGAGAGGATTTTAAATGTTCTCACCATGAAGAAATGATAAATATTTGAGGTGACAGATATGCTAATTAGCTTGATTTGATCATTCCACAATGTATCCATGCATTGAAACATCACATTGTATCCCATAAATATATACAATTATTATTTTTCAATTAAAAATAAAACTATAAAAAAAGAGTCTTTATAAATTCCTAAATTGAATATCTGACTGTAGTATTTAATATGCCTTGGTAGTAAATTTTCTTGGATGGTTTACCACTTTATAAAAAATTCATATTATAATTCCAGCCTTAGATAAATGAAAAATTATAAATCATAATCAAACTCATAAATTGCTGCTTCTCTTAAGAAGGCTGGGGCAAAACAATACTGAGTCAATGTTTTTTAATAGGGAGAATAAATATTCTCACCATGGAAAAAGTGTATAAAGACAATACTGGTTGTATAAAGATCACATCAACATCAAAAAAATGATGTCCTGTAAAATGAGTTAACCATCTTTTTTAAAACAAAAAGAAACTTATGGGAATTCCACTAAAGCAATAGGGTCAATTTCTAAAGTTCTCAATTAAAACCCAGTATTGTATATCACATATGTCCTTAGAAAAATAAATCTGGGCTATCACCATTCCATTTTGAGCTAAGAAGAGCAGGGTTAGAATGACAGCCAAAGGTTTGAGTCTATATCTAGAAAGGGATGCTGGAGGATACAAGTGTCAGCATTCTGTACTTTGCGTCAAGCAAACCACAGAGCAAATGAAATTGAATGAAGCCTGTGAAGTCTACAGGTCCCAAGGCAAGAGTTGGAGTCCTGATCCAAGCACCCCTGTACTTTTTTCAGTTTTTAGCCAGGAATGCATAAACGACCTTTGCTAGCTTCAAGGCTTCTGCACGTTTTGCTTCTCTGGCATTTAATGGAGACTTGTATAGACTGAGCTCCCCAGTGGGCAGTGTTCCAATTTTCACAATTCCACTCAGCATAGGAAAGTAATAAAGGGATATACTCCAAGAAGATTTTCTCTAGTATCAAGCCTGGTAGCACTTCCTTGTTGTTTCTACAAAGTGGGACAAAAAAGGATACGAGAGCGGGAATGCCTATTTTTTGTATCTTTACATCCTTTAAAAGTCCTAAAATATTTAAATATAATAACAATGATAGTTACTGAGTACTTACGGGGTACCTGCTTCAAGGAATTACAGTAAGTCCTCACTTAACACCATAGCTAAGTTCTTGGAAACTGTTATTCTAAGCAAAATGATATATAATGAAACCAAAGTTTTTTCCTCATCAATGTTATAAGGAAATGATATTGAAACATTATTCAATGACCTGCAGTATACAGTTTCTAAGAACCTATCCAGAACCTTAAGTCCCTTACTGTACGCTACTTAATCCTTATGGAATAGGTACTAAAACTATACTCATGGTATGGGTAAGGAACCCGAGGCTTAGTAATTGGTGAGCTGAAGTTGAATCACATCTATTTAAATCAAAACCCATATGCTTAAAAACTTTAAAAACTCACAATGTATGTGCTGCATGGTCAGTGAAGGGACAAAAGAAAAGACATAATCAGAATATTCCTATTCTCAAGGACAAACCCATGGTATTCATCCTGGTAATAACATTACTTTAATCAACAGACGTATGTATGGTATGTTACAACTAGCAAAGTACTTTCCCATATGTATGCCATTTATTTATCACAAGAATCCTATTTAAGCTGGATTGGTAGTACCTATAGCCATGTGGTTAAGAACACCTTTGGACTCAGGCTTAGGCTTAAATACTAGCCCTGAAATTCATTAGCCCACCTTGGACAAATTAACCTTTCATTTCCAAAATCTGTGAAACGTGGTAAGAATACCTATTACTATCGGTAGCTGTGAGGATTATTGGCATAAGCCCACCTGTGTGCTGCTGGCATACGCAATAAATATTTGTGATCTTGTTTTACGTATGATGAATCCTGACTCCCAGGAGTGAGAATAGTGGGCACCGGCCATAAGGTAAGGAGTAGGGCCCAGTTTTCTGACTGTAGGAACCCTTCTTTGCCCCATAGGTACCCCCACGAAGGTGTAGAATGTGGGTTTTTCCATACACAAGTCCTGCCACCCCACCCGAGCTCAGCTGAAGGCCCATGTTCTAAATCTCCCGCCTCAAGGTGATACAAAGGGTTCAAATAAACTGCTTCAAGCTTTTGTCTGAATTGGACGGCACAAACCCACCCCCACCCCCTCTTCGCGCCCCTCCCCCACCCTCACCTGCGTCACAAGCCCCTGAGAAGATTCACGCGGCACCTAGTTCTGGCCGGAACCCTGACTCTCGTACGAGGAGAACCATCTCGACCCCAATTGGCTGTCGCCGTGGGCAACCAAGGACGCGGTGGGCACGCGGGGCCCAGCCGGTATTTAAAGGCTGCGGCTGCCCGTGCCACCTCAGTCCGGCCAGGACGGCAACGCGCCCAGGTCGAAAGGGAGCAGCAAGGTAACGCGCAACCCCTGCCTCCCCGTCCCCAGCCCGTGCCTCTGCTGAGGCGGTGCATGTGGGACCTGGGAGCAGGTCTCACTGCGTGTCGCCCACCAACACCTTCCTCCCCCACCATCCTTACCCAGCCCCAGTCCCACCCAACCCACCTGGGCGAGACAACCAGGGTGCGAAGGACAAGAGACTGTGACAGACCAGCGCGCGAGCAGGGAAGAGAGAGGCCTCCTGGAGAGGAAGGCGTGATCCCAGGGGCAGACAAGTGGCGCTGCGCGGAGAGAGGCAGGGTTACACGAGGCTCTAAAGACCGTCCGATCTGGCCAAACTTCATAGCTTGTAGGACGCTACCATTAGACCTCTCGGAACTCCCTGAACCATGAACCAGACCCTCAACACAAGGGAGGACCCTCTTAACCTGGCCGGCGGCTGGGCATCCTCGGCTCCCTTACGCACATGGTCGTCCTACCAGCGAAGGCGCAGGGGCGCCCCGATTTACAAGCGACGGCACCGCTATGGCCCCAAGGCAGAGTATGAGCCCCCAGGGAAACAGCCAAGGCAACAATATGGCCCCGGCTCTCGGTTCCAACCACCGCCCCGACGGCCCAACTGGGCCGTGTGTTCTAACTGGGGAAGCTGGCGAGGGCCCTGGCACCCACCTCCAGGGGGATTCTGGAAGCCCCCCGGCCCAATGCAAGTGATTCGGGTGTATGGCCTGCACCCGTTCTGCCTTTGCTGCTGCTCCTGCTGGCGCGGGCCCTGGAACCCCGGATGGGCGAGACCTCCAGGCAGGAAGAAGCGCTGGGGCCACAGAGGCCGCCGCCACCCTCGCCGCTCCTCCCCGAGAAGCCCACCTGTGGATCTGAGAACGCTGCTGCGGCCGGTCAACTTGTACCGGTGGCGGGCGCCCGGCATGCGAGCGCCACAAAACACCACTCAGTTCATCATGAACCAGATCTACGAGGACATGCGGCAGCAAGAGGAGCTGGAGCGCCAGCAGGAGGCGCTGCGAGCGGAGCAGGCCCAGGCCGGCGGCCAGGCCTCCCCGGGGGGCTCCTCCGGAAACGACGCGCCCCCCAGCGGCAGCGAGGACGACCCGGAGCTGCCCGAAACTCTGTATGGCTTTGGGCAGAATCCCGCTCTAGCACTCAGTCCTGCCCCAGAGGAGGAAAATCAGTATCCCGCCCCGCAGCTGGTGGAGGAAGAGGAAGAGGAAGAGGAGAAAAATGAGGAGGAGGAGTGTGCTGAAGACCTGTGTGATGGAAAAGAGGAGGAGAGTGAGGAGGAAGAGGAGGAAGAGGCAGAAGAAGAGGAGGAGGAGGAGGGGATGGAAGAGCCTGACTACTTGGAGGAGGGGGAGGAGGAGGAAGAGGACGAAGAAGAGGAGCTAGAAGAAGAAGAGCAGGGGCTGGAGGAGGATGAGCAGAGAGCAGAAGAAAATCACTTGCCATTGGAAATGCCTTTATCGATCCTAGTAGGGGCTGAAGCAGAGAGAGAGAACTATATAAATTGTACTTACTTAAGCTCTGAACAGATATTTCCCGAAGTGCCACAGGAAACTCTACTAATGGTGCAGGACATTAACGGTTAAACATCAGGAAAGGGATTGAGGAATGGGATGGAACTGATTTGAGGCTAAAATGGATTAGCAACTTATTAAAAACTGATTAAAAAGTGAGTTCCATTAAATAAACATATCGATGTAAACCCCTTCTTTGGCCATTATAAAATATTTAAACATTGGTGTCTTTGTGTATGACTTATGAGTGGAGGTGGGAGAAGCTTTCAAATATAATTTTATCAGAAATAATTAAAGGCCAAATATTTTATTACTACAGTTTGGATATTTTCATTTGGTGTTCTCTCCTCTAGACAATTGAGCTGTTGTTTTTTTTTTTTTTAATCTGAAAATGCTGAAAAAGTGTTTCTTTTTGTAACAAATTTATGCATCTTTAGATATTTTGACTGTTAGTTGCTTAAGAAGCACATGCCATGACGATTGAATGTCTACCAGTGCTCTTAACATAATCGAAGCCATTTTAAAACCCAGTATTTTTCTAAAATATTTTTCTTTATAGATTTTTCACCTGCAGAGTTCATTTTCGAGGGTTGTATTTTGGAAACCCTATTTGCAGTCTTTTGTGGCATCGCTCATTTATATTCCTTGTTCCACAGTGCTATGGATCTTCCTCAGAAGAACATGAAGTTGCTTCTGTGGAACTGGTTATCTGCCATGGCCTGAACAATCCATAATCCATGCATGGAGAGGATTCCCCATGGTCAGAAGTCAACTTGCACATCTAGTTAAAATCCAAGGTAACTGCAAATAATGGAACATAGCTTAGGTTTTGACACCTTGTTCCTGGATATAGTCCTTGTCATAAGTTCAGAGAAACCATAAAAATTGTTTTTGCAGAATGGATTTAAAAAAAAAAATAGGTTATGGCCTTTTGTGGGTAGAATATCTTGTTTCCCATTTTGTCCTCCTTGTAAAGGAGGGTAAAAGATGTGTGTGAGCCTATGTGAACTAATTTCTGATAATATCTAAACAATTACCTATGGAGAATTCATCATTTAAAATAATTGCCTTTGTTCAAACATTTTTAGAAAGTAATAATACATTTCTTCCTGGGCACTTAATAAAAAGTTCCATCCATAGCATATTTCCAGAATATCCCTAGATGAAGAAGCTGAACCTGCCTTCTCAAAAATTATATCTTTTGCCTTTGAACCACAACTTGGTATTTATTTGTTGAAGAGAATACTATATGGTGATATCTTACCTAGATGTGGATTTTTACTCATATATCTCACTCCAGTGTATTTCAGCTTTCCAGATGATAAGTTTAAGCTGTTAAATTAAAAAATAAGTAATTAAAATATTAAATAAAAGTACCTTGTCTCTCATTTCTCATTATTTGAATATCAGAAATCTATGCAGCAATTAATCAGTGGCCAAAAGAATAAACATAAAAAACGGGGAAAAAAAAAACTAACATTGTAGGAATTTTAAAATCACACCAAACATTCCAAACTGCAGCAGAGAATAACCAAACATTTAATTTTACTCTTAAGAAATCAATACTTCCCTATAAGATGCAATTTATGAATGACTTGTAAAAGTAGTTTAAAATTGGCCATCCATATGAGTTTCTATTACTATTCTAATGTGTATATGTAGAGATAATCAAGAATTCTACTCCTGATATTGGTCAATCAATCCTTACAAGTCATAGCCTTTAAATACTAAAGTCACTCAAAACAATCAGTAGGCTGAACTTTAGTAGGTTCTCATTAAAGAAACCATTTCATTTAGGATTGAATTTCTTCACAATCACACCTAGACAATTCAGAATTTCTTCCTTCAAAAGACTGTACTTTTAAACTTAGAGATTCAACACATATTAATTGCCTCCATATGCACAAGGCATTATTCATTAGTCATTGTAAGGGATGCAAACATGAACAATGCCTCAGGAGTTGACATTCTAGTTCATGTACCATTATGCACTAAATATTCACTGAACTCCTAGGGACCAAGAACTGTGAGTAGTGATAAGGCTGCAATGGCAACAACATCCCTACTCTGATGTTGTTTATAGTTCATTAGAAAATCCTGACAAGTGAAGAGTTAGCCAAATTGTTCACCATAAGTATTATGAAGAAAATGTACCACTATAAAAACATATATCACAAAGGAACCCAAGAGTGAAGTGGGGGTGTTTGTTGCGGGCAGAGGGGCCCCTGAATCTAAAGGCCAAGAGCTGGGAGGAACTTGGTGCCATTGACAACTGAGGACATAAAGACCAAAGTGTCTGAAAGGAGCAGCCAATGACAAGCGAGAGAGGTAGGCAGAAGCCATGTTATCTATTCATTCCTGTGCATCCATATCTTCTGAAATAGACACCAGCAAAAATAAAGGAAAAAACTATTATTCATCACTGATTTTCTACCTGAACTGATTTGTTATTAGTTAAATAATGTTATGGTCCCTTTGCTAATCCCAAAGGCAAATGTAAAATGATTAAGCCATGTTGGGGTTTGGAGGCATTGGTCATCCCAGTACACCTATCAGTACAATTTTCCCAGACCTCCCCAACCACTGTTGCATAAGGAAGGAGGGAGTACTAGGGTTTCTTGTCCAGCATGATAGGAGCACCATAATTCTCAACTCCTTTGGAGACTTCTTGCACAGTTTATTCAGTACAACTTAATGATGATTCAGGAGACTTTAAAGTATTAGTATGGCTCAGAATAAACACAGTCTTTAGCTTTAGAGGAAAATGTACACTTGAAGAAAAAATATAATTTTCCAAAATAAGTTTATCATTATTATTAAAATCAATTCAAAACTTTATAAGGCGAACACAGTGATAATGATGTGCCACTTAGGCTTTTCTTTCAAGAATGGAGCTACTATTTTTTCAATTGTCGGAAAAATAACACTATAAATTATCATAGACATGTTTAGAAGGCCTGGACTTGATAACTATCTTTCCTGTCTATTCTGAGGTGTTTTTACATGTAGAGATGCTGATATTTTCCTCTCCAAGTGACTGACAGCATTTCTTGAATTATCTTTATTACTTTGTCTTCCCAGTAACTCAGAGGGATTTTTTTCTGTGAAAATAGTCCTCTAAAAGTGGTAAATACACTTGACATTTGAGATCAATCCTGAGCTCTGAGTATGATTTCATAAAACTTTAGAACATCCGTATATGAAAAAGACAGTGTTGCCAACATATTTAGTTACATTAATATAAACACAAGAGGTGAAATAATCTCCTACCAGCTACACCAAACCTATGGATCTGGGAAGTAAATGATATTAATACTAACATCACTCCATAGGTGAGGGAGTGGATAAGACTAAGAAAACTGCTTCTTTAAATTTTATTTTGATTTTAGCAGCATAAATAATAAAATGATATATGCAGCTATGTTGTTTGTATTCAGACAGGTTCATATTAATTAAACAATTGAAAGTTATTCTTAATGCTTCCAAATCACTTTGGCCTGGATTATCTTGAGTGTTTAAAGAAAAATCAGAATTTGGCTGTATCTTAGATGTTTCAATATTAGCATTTTTTTTGGATCTATTCAGTTTTAGCTAATTAGTGGAACAGCCCAATACCAAGGTCAGCTGATGGAAAAGAAGAGAAAGATGTAGGTATCGGATGGGAAGACCCGGATGTGTGCTGCCCTGCTGCCTTAGTGACCTGTGGTGGTAGCCACTTGCCTTGAGTTTCCGTTGCCTCAAAGGTAGTAATCATACTCCATTATCACTTAGGCCTATTGTGAAGACCAAATATCCACTATTAAAGAAGAATTGTATCATAGACTATAAATCACTGTTGATGATTATAAATGCAGTTTAATGACTGCATTTTATAAAGTTATGATCTCACTTAAATTTTAAACATTAGATCAGTCTAGATTTATCAGCAAGGCCAGGAAATCTTATCTCATTACACTTATGTTGGATTGAGGTGTCCAGATATTTCAGTTGTTACCACTGAACTAAGCATAAAACAACTTGCCCTTGAAATTTAGTTTTGGATTCAGGTAAAACAGTGTGCAAACATACACTGCACATTGTCTAGTGCCTTCATATTGAAAGTGTGGTCTATGAACCAGCAGCATTGACACGACCTGAGAGCTTGTTTGAAATGCTGAAGCTGAGGCTTCCCTCAGACCCACTGAATTAGAATACACTTTCTAACAAGGTCTCTAAGTGATATACATGCACATTAAAGACCTAGAAGCTCTGTAGTTTAGGGGTCAGATCCATTGCAGAGGTCTCATGGGAATTTAGTGATTAAGATTATGGTTTGTGCATTGAAAAACTTTTATCATTTACTACTTGTGTGACCTCAGGTATGTTACTGAAATTTTGGCTTCTCATTTTCTTCATCTGTAATATCAATCTCATGAACTAAAGGAGATTGTGAAGATTAAGTGGGCCGACACTTATCCAACACTCTGAATAGTGGCACTCAATACCTCCCAGCTATAATAATAAGTATTCAATAAATATACAAATGGACATATTATGTGGCGTCTAAAAGTTACTTGTTAGTGAGGAGAGCAATTATAAATCAAATCTCCCAAAATAATTAACAAAATGATTCATTAACTCTTTCCTGTTTTCCCCAGGATAACTCAGTTGCATTACTTTTAGCTGCACATACCATGGTGCAGACTATGAGAACCAATTAAATCTCTCTAGCTAAACTAATTCCCAAGATAAGATTTTTTGTTCTTTATCTCTCCCTCTGCTCTTGCCCAGAACAATGATGTTTCCTTTCTTCCTGTGGCTTACATGAATACCCTAATGGCTGGTGCTAAGAATTACCCATTCTTTCCCATAAGCAATGGATATTTGAATGCATCTTTTCAAAATCAAAATACATGCAACTGTAATACTTGAAGAAACCGTTTTTGTTAATTGTTGTTTGATATTTTATATAAATGATATGACAACAATTTAACACATTGAATAATATGTATATGTATATCAATACACACACTTGGTGGGAAAAATACTTGAGTGGGATAAATTGGTCTAAATGTTGTGTTGCTTCTCATCTGTAATTAAAGTAAAATCAATATTTTATTTTAGAAAAATATTCACAAGAATTTATAGGCAAATTTATGGGTATGTGAGATAACTGGATATCGTTCATAATATTAATACAGCCACTTTATTGAAGGTTCTGTTTTATGCTACACTTAAA